TCGTCAAGAATTTTAAAAAAGTATTTATCTTAAGTATACTTATTTATATTAAAAGTAAAATTATTAAATGCTGCAGGCACATTGCATTTCCCCAATATCTTCAGGTCAATTCAATCAGTGATCTTAGTAATTGTATTTATGCACTGTACTTATATGTAGCCAATTACCATATGAGGATCCCCTTAGTGCACTGCATTCTCTAATAACGTTTTTAAATTATCTCAGTCAGCGCGTACATAACCTCGTCATAGTCAATCAGGCTCTGGTTTTGGTGGGTAGTAGTCATGGCCATCGTCACGCTTGATGATTTTTATGAAAGCACCACAGTCACCTTTGACCAAAATAAAATAAAAATTTTCATGACAAATATTATCATCGTCACTTATTTCGTTAACCACATTTACACATCCATGTGGCAACAACTCCGATTAGCACGGTTGGCTACGTACGGTGCCAAAGAGGTTCAACATACATAGATACACTGCTCCCAGCTCTCTCGTTTTATTATTTGAACTTCATCTGTCCTTTACGCCTCTTGCCGTCTACCACAAAGGACAGTTAATGCGTGCCTAATATAAGCCGGAATCCAGGACGGGTGCGGTGCCAATTAAAATAGCTCTTGCTGTGAATGTGCCGCCTATGTTTAATGATACCATACACCTAGGACAATATTGCCCCTTCCAAAATTGCACGCGTTAAATATACGTGTAGTGATGTTAAATGTATCACTTCGGCGCGTAGCGCCAAGTGCCATACAAATGGGCGCAGAGGCTAACACACCGTGCAGTATCATCCAGTGGGTCACTAGGAGCATGGTACTGGGTCCTAGCAGAAGGAGGCCAGATGAGTCCTACCGACAGAGTAGGGGATAGCAGCCTCCGCCAGTGCCGTAGGTAATCGCCACAGAGTTGGTCACTGGGGGAGTGTGGTGGGGGGCGGCTGGTGGTAGGGGCCATGTGAGGACGAGTCACCCCGGCACCGGGTTAAGCACGTGATCGGCCGGGGTGAGGAATGTGGGCCAAGGGTGAACGAGGGGACACGGGAAGAGTCGCTGAGAACGTCTGGAGAGTTCCCGAAGGGGGCGTGGTTAAGGGCGGAGCCAAAGAGGGAACAGGCGTAAGGTGGCCTGGAACCTTCGGGAATATTCCAGAGGTAGGCACGGCCGAGGGTGGAGCTAGGCCGCGCCGAGGAGGATAAAAGGGTAGCTCCGATCGTATATCGGGGCTGTCTGCAAGTGAAGTGGAAGCCAAGTGCTACGTCTAGGTCGTCGACATCGTGGGTCAGGCAGCATGTTGGCTGCTCTGACCCGATGATAGTTATCCCGTGTGCGAGAGAAATACGTGTATTGGGGTCCGATGTGTAACAAGAGTGAGAGATAGGTGTATTGTAGTCCCGTGTAACGGTGTTGTATAAAGTGTAGAATAAACGTTGTTACCTCCTAAGTAGTGTCTCCGAATGACTCACTACACAAGTATAAAACAATAGGTGGCTATGCAAAATACTGCAGATAACACAATGTTAAATCGTGCGCCTCCAGCGTTGCTTAAATTGAGAACATGAAAAAAAGACATGCACTTCAATCCCGATGCAGCACACATAGCCTCTGCGGGCAAGTGCTGTTAGTGAGCGCCCACCCTATTAAGTTAATTAACTAGTCACATATAATCAATCTCATGCTTTGATCAAATAAAATGTATAACAATCGGAATGGGTTGCAGTCTGAACAGTGCCTTGAATGTGGCGTGAATGTGGTACATCGTGGATAACAGATGTTCGAGGCTACATGGCATTATGGGCAGCAGAGCGCAGTGTAGCAAAATACATGACAAGCGTGGTCAAGTATGGTCAAATAAACCGCACGACCCACATGGCATATAGAGACCATCATCCAACAGTGGATTGACAAAAGGGCTATTGAATGTCTATCAATCTCTCAATTGACAGCTCTGCATTTAAGTTACAGTTGATATATTCATCCCATTTGTGCTGCGAAGAATTGCCAACGGAAATGTTTGAATGTGTGGCGGTGCTTTCAAGATCATAATGTCCCTGTCATAGCCGGCAGCCTGTAGACTTGGCAAGAACAGACGTGGAACGTCACAAGAAACATCAGATTGAACGAAATCAATGAAAAAACATAACACTGCGTATTGTTCTATTGTTGCTGTTGTTTACTTGGGCATGGCTCGCTGACAGACTCCCTCGGGAGCTCTTTACTCTCTGTGGAGGCCCTAAAGAGCTTGCGGAGTCTCAAATGGAAAGCATTCCATCCTATCAAGTTACATTTGCGGTAGCCAGCATCCATCCCATATCCATTCCCTCCCACTCATCCTTCCTTCCCGGCCTCCTCACTCTCTTATCTTCTCACTTGTCGAATCCATCACGTCTCATTTTTCACAAGAGGCTTGTTGTCTCACTGGGCTCCCACCTGCATGAACTAAAAAAACAAAGAACTGTCGTCATTATATGAACATCTACAGCCCTTTAGTGCATGCACCGCTGAATGACGTGCCGAAATCATTGCAAGTTGATGAAAGCAGGGAATATATGTGGGAACACAGAAGTACAGCACAGCTATTTACTTGTCTACACTGCCTTTTGTTGCCCACCACGTAGTCCTGCTGGCCTTATGCTCATCTTTCTTGATGCGGTGGTCATCCATTCGAGCAAAGTCCGGGCTCAAGCTTTGCTTAGTTTCCGAGATCTGACAAGATCGTGCGCATTTCTCAGACGCTTCATTACTACGCTGCACGTCCATGTGGTGTCACCTTATCTGGAAACCACCTACGCAAGAGGCAACACCACCGTTTAGCGCATCGACCACTCTCCCATCGTATCCTTATCGGCTGATAACAGTCAACATATTCAGGGTCAGTAAATCGACCACTCTCCCCTAAATCCAATCAGCTGATGAGCCACGTGAACCCGGCACCCTTGGCCAGTATATTGAACCACGCCCTGTAGATCAAAACTATTGAGGGATCACATCCACTGGTGGTGAATCGACCACACCCTTCGAATACCATCAGATGATGTGCACGTACGAACAGGTGGCGCCGCAGAAGAACTAGCGGCTCGCAAACAGAAGGTTGCGAGTTCAAATCTTGGTAAAGGGCGACTCGGTCCATTGTCTCTCCGCGGTTGATACGATTAGTACCACGCTGTAGAGAAGTCAACAGTGGTTGTCATATGGATGGACTCACCCCTGTCATGGGAATGATGAATTTCCAACACTGTCTCAGGGCTGTTAACAGCAGATGAGCATCGCCTCCAAGCCCATTAGAGCATGGAATCACGAGCGCTTTGTATTTAAAGTTTTCTAAATATTGTTTTTTTTTGCTTCTGCAATTGCTCAGTTGAGCAGGAGAATCACTTTTATTATGAAGTTAACTTTCGCTGTCCACATACACTGCTATATCAGCGCACACGGAAAGTGTCATACTTGCCAGGAGCCCTACAGGCTTACGAAGGGGGTAGGCTACACATTATTACATTATTTTTGGCTGGACATTCTTAAGAAAAAATGTAAACACATACCGATTAACAAAGTCAATCGTGCAGGATCACAAAATGTTTGAAATTTAAATTGACATTTTTTGCTTTGAGAAAATCTGTATAGGCATTCTAGCGTTTAAGTCGGTAGGATTGGCGAGCATGCGGTTTTAATATCAAACGTAATCAGCTGATGTTCACATGTGTGCGTGTGTCGCCTTCATAATAATCCTGATGCTAGCGTTATCATAAACAGACATCAATACACTTCTTGGAAGAGACAATCTACCTGTGTAGGACAATACACCGTTTAGATGATATCTGAATTGGAATTAAGGGCGTCTGTTTCGCCGAAAAGACAGCGTTAGCTGTGTTTTTCGGTTACACGAAAACACGTAACGGCTGGGCAGCGAGAAGGAACAACATGAAGCTTCAAGACTAAACACAGTGCCGACTGAAGCCACGCAACCAAAACTTTGGACCATATAGTGTACAACCGCTGTTGTCCACGCTCCTTCAACGGAGGAGGAACAGCAAAACCACACGAACTCTCTCTCCTGAAGCCCTCTCGTGACGAGCTCCTGAACATATCGCCACACACGCAAGAGTAGAATTTTCATGGCTGGCCAATATCAGCAATTGTCCTAGCGCTTAGACAAATATCCACCCTATAGCCTTAACAGATTGTAGGGGCAAGTTTTGTTAGCGAGCACCTATAAAGGCCGGCACGGCACACGAGGGGGTGGGTGGCCAATACCACGCCCGGCCGCCTTTGTCTCCCTCGTGGCGATGTTTACACGTCGCACCAGGTACTCATTTGAGGCCCAGGACCGGTTCAGATAATTGCCACTGGTGTTGGCCGTGAGCGGGAATCGAACCCGGGTCGCCAGGTTCGTAGCGCAGCGCGCTAACCGCTGCACCACCGCTCCCCACTGCACACTGACACACAGACGTCCAGGTGCGTTCTCGCTGTGTCCAACGCGTGCCAGTCAAACCGACCACGCCCTTTTAAAAGCCATCAGCTGTCACCCCACGTGCTGCACGAGCCCCCACCCTCGCCCCCCAAAGAGTAATAGACCCTCCTCCCTCTGCGCCCCGCCCCACTCCCATTCAATCTTCCGCCCGTCTATTGCCACCCCCCCTTAGCCTTCGCCCCGCCCCGTCATATGCATAGATCGCCCCGCCTCTATCCACCCTACCCCCCCTAACCCATTCCCCCACTATCTCCCCCAACATTGCCCCTTCCGCCTGCAATTAACATCACTAGCCCCGCCCATTAATTATCTCGCCCCCGCCTCTCTCAACTTAGCCCCGCCCCTCCATCTCCTTCCCCCACCCCTCACGCCGCCGCCCCAGCTTGTCAGTTGACCGCCCCGCCGGGCACAGCGTGAGGCGATTGGTCGGCGACGCCCCCCCCCCAACCCGCCCAACCCCCCCGCGATGCCCGCCCCGCCCCCCGACGTAACGAGGACGCGGATTGGCGGAGGCGCCGTTAAGCGGCGCTCGGCAAGGACCGCCGCCTGAAAGATGGCGAGGAGGCGATCGGCGGCGGACGCGACGCGCTCGCCGCTCCGGCGACCGCCCGCGCTGCGGCTGACGTCCCTCGCCTCGCCGCTCGAGCCCCTGCTGCTGCTGGCGCTGCTGCTGCTGGCGCTGGTGCAGCCCGGGGCGCAGGACTCGTTCCCTCAGGGGGAGAGGTGCGTGAGTGCTTGAGTGAGTGAGGTGCGTGTGTGTGTGTGTGTGCGCGCGCGCGCGGCTGTTTGCCGGTGAGTGAGGGACGTTGGGGATGGGCACGTGGTGGGGTGGATGGGGCCACAGTGAGACAGGGCAAGCGTGGGAGCTTCGGGGAGTGAGAAGGGAAGGGCATGGGCCAAGTGATCCATGTGTCATTGTGAGTGACAGATTGGTGACAGTTATGACCACAGGGCATGGGGCAGTGGTGTCAGAGTGGCATGGTAAGTCAGAGAGAGTGAGAGCATTGGTTAGTGAGAGGGCATGGTTAATGGGAGGTAAGATCGTGAGAGGGCATGGACAGCGAGAGAGCAGTGAGAGCGACTGCATAGTTAATGAGCGAGGAGTGAGTGTATGGTTACTTAGAGAGGACATGGATAGGGTTAAGTGAGAGGGGCATGGGCGGTGAGAGGTGTAATGGGAAGTGAGAGAAGAGATGGTTGGTTCAGAGATGGCAGTGAGAGGGCATGGACAGTGAGAAGGCAAAAAGATAACGAATGGGCAGTGAGAAAGATGGGGGCATGGTGAGTGAGAGAGGGAAGTGGGGGTGGCATTCTTGAGTGAAAGGGCACCGAGAGTTCGTGGCTAATGAAAGATAATATGTGAATAGAGGGCAGTGAGATATGGAGAGGGTAGTTAGAGAAGGAGAGATGGGGGCATTGACAGCGCAGTGGGACAGCCAAGAACAGTGAGTGAATTAAAAAGGGCAGTGTCGGTGTGAGAGAGGGCAGTGTCGGTGTGAGAGAGGGCAGTGTCGGTGTGAGAGAGGGCAGTGTCGGTGTGAGAGAGGGCAGTGTCTGTGTGAGAGAGGGCAGTGTCGGTGTGAGAGAGGGCAGTGTCGGTGTGAGAGAGGGCAGTGTGAGAGAGGGCAGTGTCGGTGTGAGAGAGGGCAGTGTCTGTGTGAGAGAGGGCAGTGTCGGTGTGAGAGAGGGCAGTGTCGGTGTGAGAGATGGGCAGTGTCTGTGTGAGAGAGGGCAGTGTCGGTGTGAGAGAGGGCAGTGTGAGAGAGGGCAGTGTGAGAGAGGGCAGTGTCTGTGTGAGAGAGGGCAGTGTCTGTGTGAGAGAGGGCAGTGTAAGAGAGGGCAGTGTGAGAGAGGGCAGTGTCGGTGTGAGAGGGGCAGTGTCTGTGTGAGAGAGGGCAGTGTCGGTGTGAGAGAGGGCAGTGTCGGTGTGAGAGAGGGCAGTGTCTGTGTGAGAGAGGGCAGTGTCGGTGTGAGAGAGGGCAGTGTTGGTGTGAGAGAGGGCAGTGTCGTGTGAGAGAGGGGCAGTGTCTGTGTGAGAGAGGGCAGTGTCTGTGCGAGAGAGGGCAGTGTCTGTGCGAGAGAGGGCAGTGTCGTGTGAGAGAGGGCAGTGTCTGTGTGAGAGAGGGCAGTGTCGGTGTAAGAGAGGGGCAGTGTCGGTGTGAGAGAGGGCAGTGTCGGTGTGAGAGAGGGCAGTGTGAGAGAGGGCAGTGTCTGTGTGAGAGATGGGCAGTGTCGGTGTGAGAGAGGGGCAGTGTCGGTGTGAGAGAGGGCAGTGTGAGAGAGGGCAGTGTCGGTGTGAGAGAGGGCAGTGTCGGTGTGAGAGAGGGCAGTGTCGGTGTGAGAGAGGGCAGTGTCGGTGTGAGAGAGGGCAGTGTCGGTGTGAGAGAGGGCAGTGTGAGAGAGGGCAGTGTCGGTGAGAGAGAGCGCAGTGTCTGTGTGAGAGAGGGCAGTGTCGGTGTGAGGGAGGGCAGTGTGAGAGAGGGCAGTGTCGGTGTGAGAGAGGGCAGTGTCGGTGTGAGAGAGGGCAGTGTGAGAGAGGGCAGTGTCTGTGTGAGAGAGGGCAGTTGTGTGAGAGAGGGCAGTGTCGGTGTGTGAGAGGGCAGTGCCGGTGTGAGAGAGGGCAGTGTCGGTGTGAGAGATGGGCAGTGTCTGTGTGAGAGAGGGCAGTGTCGGTGTGAGAGAGGGCAGTGTGAGAGAGGGCAGTGTGAGAGAGGGCAGTGTCTGTGTGAGAGAGGGCAGTGTCTGTGTGAGAGAGGGCAGTGTCGGTGTGAGAGAGGGCAGTGTAAGAGAGGGCAGTGTGAGAGAGGGCAGTGTCGGTGTGAGAGGGGCAGTGTCTGTGTGAGAGAGGGCAGTGTCGGTGTGAGAGAGGGCAGTGTCGGTGTGAGAGAGGGCAGTGTCTGTGTGAGAGAGGGCAGTGTCGGTGTGAGAGAGGGCAGTGTTGGTGTGAGAGAGGGCAGTGTCGTGTGAGAGAGGGGCAGTGTCTGTGTGAGAGAGGGCAGTGTCTGTGCGAGAGAGGGCAGTGTCTGTGCGAGAGAGGGCAGTGTCGTGTGAGAGAGGGCAGTGTCTATGTGAGAGAGGGCAGTGTCGGTGTAAGAGAGGGGCAGTGTCGGTGTGAGAGAGGGCAGTGTCGGTGTGAGAGAGGGCAGTGTGAGAGAGGGCAGTGTCTGTGTGAGAGATGGGCAGTGTCGGTGTGAGAGAGGGGCAGTGTCGGTGTGAGAGAGGGCAGTGTGAGAGAGGGCAGTGTCGGTGTGAGAGAGGGCAGTGTCGGTGTGAGAGAGGGCAGTGTCGGTGTGAGAGAGGGCAGTGTCGGTGTGAGAGAGGGCAGTGTCGGTGTGAGAGAGGGCAGTGTCGGTGTGAGAGAGGGCAGTGTGAGAGAGGGCAGTGTCGGTGAGAGAGAGCGCAGTGTCTGTGTGAGAGAGGGCAGTGTCGGTGTGAGGGAGGGCAGTGTGAGAGAGGGCAGTGTCGGTGTGAGAGAGGGCAGTGTCGGTGTGAGAGAGGGCAGTGTGAGAGAGGGCAGTGTCTGTGTGAGAGAGGGCAGTTGTGTGAGAGAGGGCAGTGTCGGTGTGTGAGAGGGCAGTGCCGGTGTGAGAGAGGGCAGTGTCGGTGTGAGAGATGGGCAGTGTCTGTGTGAGAGAGGGCAGTGTCGGTGTGAGAGAGGGCAGTGTGAGAGAGGGCAGTGTGAGAGAGGGCAGTGTCGGTGTGTGAGAGGGCAGTGTCTGTGTGAGAGAGGGCAGTGTCGGTGTGAGAGAGGGCAGTGTAAGAGAGGGCAGTGTGAGAGAGGGCAGTGTCGGTGTGAGAGGGGCAGTGTCTGTGTGAGAGAGGGCAGTGTCGGTGTGAGAGAGGGCAGTGTCTGTGTGAGAGAGGGCAGTGTCTGTGTGAGAGAGGGCAGTGTCGGTGTGAGAGAGGGCAGTGTTGGTGTGAGAGAGGGCAGTGTCGTGTGAGAGAGGGGCAGTGTCTGTGTGAGAGAGGGCAGTGTCTGTGCGAGAGAGGGCAGTGTCTGTGCGAGAGAGGGCAGTGTCGTGTGAGAGAGGGCAGTGTCTATGTGAGAGAGGGCAGTGTCGGTGTAAGAGAGGGGCAGTGTCGGTGTGAGAGAGGGCAGTGTCGGTGTGAGAGAGGGCAGTGTGAGAGAGGGCAGTGTCTGTGTGAGAGATGGGCAGTGTCGGTGTGAGAGAGGGGCAGTGTCGGTGTGAGAGAGGGCAGTGTCGGTGTGAGAGAGGGCAGTGTCGGTGTGAGAGAGGGCAGTGTCGGTGTGAGAGAGGGCAGTGTCGGTGTGAGAGAGGGCAGTGTCGGTGTGAGAGAGGGCAGTGTCGGTGTGAGAGTGGGCAGTGTGAGAGAGGGCAGTGTCGGTGAGAGAGAGCGCAGTGTCTGTGTGAGAGAGGGCAGTGTCGGTGTGAGGGAGGGCAGTGTGAGAGAGGGCAGTGTCGGTGTGAGAGAGGGCAGTGTCGGTGTGAGAGAGGGCAGTGTCGGTGTGAGAGAGGGCAGTGTCGGTGTGAGAGAGGGCAGTGTCGGTGTGAGAGAGGGCAGTGTCGGTGTGAGAGAGGGCAGTGTCGGTGTGAGAGAGGGCAGTGTCGGTGTGAGAGAGGGCAGTGTGAGAGAGGGCAGTGTCGGTGAGAGAGAGCGCAGTGTCTGTGTGAGAGAGGGCAGTGTCGGTGTGAGGGAGGGCAGTGTGAGAGAGGGCAGTGTCGGTGTGAGAGAGGGCAGTGTCGGTGTGAGAGAGGGCAGTGTGAGAGAGGGCAGTGTCTGTGTGAGAGAGGGCAGTTGTGTGAGAGAGGGCAGTGTCGGTGTGTGAGAGGGCAGTGCCGGTGTGAGAGAGGGCAGTGTCGGTGTCAGAGAGGGCAGTTTCTGTGTGAGAGAGGGCAGTGTCGGTGTGAGAGAGGGCAGTGTCGGTGTGAGAGAGGGCAGTGTGAGAGAGGGCAGTGCCGGTGTGAGAGAGGGCAGTGCCGGTGTGAGAGAGGGCAGTGTCGATGTGAGAGAGGGCAGTGTCGGTGTGAGAGAGGGCAGTGTCGGTGTGAGAGAGGGCAGTGTTAGAGAGGGCAGTGTCGGTGTGAGAGAGGGCAGTGTGAGAGAGGGCAGTGTCGGTGTGAGAGAGGGCAGTGTCGTGTAAGAGAGGGCAGTGTGAGAGAGGGCAGTGTCGGTGTGAGAGAGGGCAGTGTCGGTGTGAGAGAGGGCAGTGTGAGAGAGGGCAGTGTCGGTGTGAGAGAGGGCAGTGTGAGAGAGGGCAGTGTCGGTGTGAGAGATGGCAGTGTGAGAGAGGGGCAGTGTTGGTGTGAGAGAGGGCAGCGTCTTTGAGAGTGAGCAGAGTCGGCGAGAGAGGGCAGTTTAGTGGAATGGGCAGTGTCAATGAGGGGGAGCGGTGTCTGTGAGAAAGGGCAGTCGCTTCCCCATGGTCGTGTCTATTCTACGTAATGGACATGTAACCCTGGGGTTGCCAACTCATTCCCATCTCACTGCTGTTCATGTTATCACTGCTGAATTGTTATTACCACTGCGACGATGGTGTTGTTTCCATGTTATTATTGATGTCCTCGTAATGTTCTCATTTATAGTGTTTTCCACATTAATATGTATACAACGTATTAAAATATTGATGCCGGTTGCTGCGTGACCACTTATTGCGTTAAATGTATCAACGTATTCGCGTATGTTGTATCATTGTTATTAAAATATAACGTATATTTTCCCTACCACATAGTGTATAGGGCACTGGGTTTTGCAGACCAGAG